AATTCCTCAAAAAACAATTTATTGGATACATCATATTGGCACAATTGGTGAAAGCTGACTCTGAAAGTTCCCATGGTTTTACCTAATTAAAAAAATAAAAGTTTCCATCTTTCCCCCAAGTCACTGGTCACACTGTCCAATCCAGGTGCTGGCCGGTTGCTTGGTTACTTCACTCCTCCTCTGGCCAGCCACCTGTGACAATAACTTTGGTTCCCACAGGAAAACTTTATTATTTTTGGCTACAAAACCCCATCTAACTATTTCCCCCTCCCTCTGTTGTGGTGCAACCCTGAAGCCTCCAAGATGGCTTCAGCCAGGTTTACTTCAGGGTTGACAATCACAGTTGTTAAGTGAATCACTGCAGTTGTTAGGTTAATAAACGGTTGCTAAATAAATCTGGCTTCCCCATTGACTTTGCTTGTCAGAAGGTTGCAAAAGGTAATCACACGGCCTCAGGACACTGCAACCCACATAAATACACGCTGGTTGCCAAACACCTGAATTTTGATCATGTGACCATATGGTGCAATGGTCATAAGTGTGAAAAACATTCATAAGCCACTTTTTTCAGTACTGTTATAATCTCAAATAGTCACTAAAGAAATGTTTGTAAGTCAATAATATTATTGTACATAATATTATGTACAATAATATCTACCATGACATCAGCAGCCAAGGGGAAATAATATTGTTGCTCCTGAAGTTAATAAATTGTATGATTTTAAATAAAAATTGGCTTGGGGTCGGTGAAACATAGAAGACTTGATTATATAGGATGAAGTTAAACGTTCTCACAAAGTTTATAAAATTTCTCGTTTATTTATTTTCATTGTATGTTGCCTGTTTAAGAGATTAATGGCAGCTCTATTCCAAGCAATTTAAACCATAAAAACATATCAGGACACTGAGTATACATTACATGATCATCTAATTTTTAATTAGCCTTAATTGAATGGTTTAATTAAGATAACAAATAACAAACAGAAATTTAAGAAATCAGATAGAACAATAGTAGTATTGTGGTTAATAAACCTTGACTATAGAAATCATATTGTCCAGTCCTTTTTAACACTCTTCAAAAACCAGTTCAACAATGTTTTAACAAACTTTGAATTCCTTAGAACTGAACATTTTTGATGAATTAAGTTCCTTTTAAGGTGATAAGTTGTATTTATCGTTTTTTTTTTACTCTTTAGACCATTGCATTTGTAAAATAAGGAATTGCAATTCAGTGTTCAATTTTTGTTGTATGCAGAATTATCCATATATATTTAATAACATTCTGCAATTGTCTATAAAACTGAATTGTTGTTTAACTGAATTCCTGGCCAATTATATTCTTCATGTATCCTTTTGAAAGCACACTTGTGTGCTATCCAGAAGTAAACCACAGGTGATGAACTAGCTCCACACTCAGAATGGCTAATGGCATTCTGCAGCATCATCTGGGGCTTTTTTCCTTACCAATGTTGCTTTGCGTTCAGGAGTCCAACATCACCTAGGTTTGTACTTCTGCATGAAGCGCCATTATTTTTCCCATCACAGTGGTACCTATTCATCTACTTGCATGTACCAAGCTTTCAAACTTCTAGGTTAGCTTAAGCCAAGGCATGTGATGGGAGCTCACCTCATCACACAGTGCTAGGATTCGAATACCTGGAGTACAGACCTTCTCCAGTCTCTTTAAGTCACTGAGCCACCATACCTCTTTTAGCATAGTTGGAAGAAAGTTTCAAGGGACAACATTCTCCCCTTTCTCTTCTCAAGTTTTGACTCTGGCTTAAACTCCAATGGAATATACAGAAATATCCTAAACTCCACCGAATGTTTTTTTGTTCAAGATATAACCAATTCTGAGATGGTGGTGCAGTTACAAGCAATAAGTCAGCACTTCTCAGAGTATATTGATCATATATAGATCAGGGCCAAAGAGAACCTTGGCCCATGGGCCAAATCCATCCTGCTGCTTGATTTTGTACAGCCTGAAAGCAAGAATGGCTGGGCAGGCAGATGGCAAATCCCCAGGCCTGAACCTCATTCAGGCTCAGGGTAAGAGGCAGGGGTGGTGGGGGGAAAAGCTATCATCAACCTTCTTGCTAGTGGGGTGATGCTGTCCAATGACTACTCTGCTCTTTGGCCTGCCAGTTTCACCCAAGGAAAAGGAAGAGGGCTTTTGTTAATTTCTCAAGACTAAACAAGATAGAAAGAGTTGATGCCTGCCAAGATGCTCTGAATAAAATCCATGTCCTGTATGTGGGAGAAGAGAAATCACCATGCCAATTTCCTTTCTTGGAATATAAAGAAGCTTTAGCAGATGTCATAGAAAAATGCTTTCAGGGAATTGTTTCAATCAAACTGTGTTCACTGGAATGATGTAATCTATGAGATGCTTCAAGAAAGAAATCTTTACATACTTTTCCAAATCTCTTGTTTAATTTTTTTTGCACCTCTGAACATGACACAGCATTACAAGCAAAGAAGAATGCAAATTTTTGCATTCTTATGCAAAAGTATAAGATATAAGGAGTATGAGGCAAATCTCAACCTATTTCCAGATTTGTCCACAGGGTTATTAAAAATGCAAAAGTTTCTCCAAGCATGCCTTATAACCAAACAAAATTGAATAGCAATAGCACATAGACTTACAAACCACTTTACAGTGCTTTACAGCCCTCTCTAAGCTCTTTACAGAGTCAGCCTATTGCCCCCAGCAATTTGGGTCTTTATTTTACCGACCTCAGGAGGATGGAAGGCTGAGCCAAACTGGTGAGACTCAAACTGCCAAATTGCTGGCAGCCAGCGGTCAGCAGAAGTAGTCTGCAATACTGCATTCTAACCACTGCGTCACCAAGGCACAGTGGTTAGAATGCAGTATATAAATATACTGCAGAATAAAAACTTTTGTGATACAACTTGCAATCTTTAGCTTATTGCACCACAGGGCTGGCTCTAGGTTGGGGTCACCAAAATTGCAAAGACTTCAAAACAACAACAACAACAAAAAAGCTAAAAGCAGTAATGGTGCACTCTGTGACCCAGCACATCTGCTCAAGAGTTAAATACAATTCTGCAAAATTGCTGCCATATAACAATGAGTGATGATTTAATTTTAAAAAATCTGCTGTTCCGTGTTTGAATCTTGGAGATTCCCTGTACAAGTCCATGCAGTTTTCTTGGCAAGATTTCAGAAATGCTTTGATATTGCCTTCTTCCTAAGGCTGAGAGAAAGTGACTGGCCTGAGGTCACCCAGATGGATTTGTGCCTAAGGGGAAGAGGGAGTCACAGTATCCTGGTTTTTTGTTTGATGCCTTAACCACTACACCATCTGGCTGTCAAAATTCCTTACAGGTAAAAAGGATGAAAATAGTACATATCATTGTTTTGGAGAGTACATTCAAAGTCAGTTTGACCAAATCTCTGAATCAAATTAACCTTCTGAATCAATTTGGAGACTATTTACTTTTCTGAATTGAGATAAGGGATTGAATAGGACTGAACTGACTGCTGATACGGAAGCAATTCTTTGAAGTGATGACATTAAAAAAAAAATCACCTGTATTTGAATAGGATTGGAGCTGATTTCCTTATTTGTGATAAACTGCTGTTTCACTGTTCATAAAGTTTGTATTTTTAACAAAAGTAAATAATAAATGCAAGATAAGCTGTGCCAAAAGAGAACATTAAAATTTCAGATTGAGAAATAATCTTGTATTTATGGATTGGTTTTTGTGGTTTCTATTGGTTTTTGTGATTTCTTTATCTTATACAAATCTTCTTTTAATTTATTTAATGAAATGTGGATTTTATTTATGCCCAAAGCAGTTGAAGAAATTTAACATGCAGTTTCAAAAGTATATTTCTGTGTCTCATTATGCCAGATGTGGCAGCTGTGATGTTTCTGGTCTAGAAGGCCTCAGGGCAGTTATTCATGCTTTGGTTACCTTCTATATGGACTATTGTAATGCAATCTACTTGGGACTGTCCTTGAAAACTACATGGAAGCTGCAGCTACTTCGAAATGAACAGCCCAGGCAGTTATGGGCAAACCATCATAGCATTTGTGTTCTGTTGCTTCTGAATGCAAATCAGAGTGCTGATTATCACTCTGAGAGATACCTGGTTTCTGAAGTACCATGAGTCATTATGGAGAAGGGGGTCTTAATAAATTTGGTAAAGAAATATACTGTATATCATGCAGTGACATGGTAATATAACATGATCTCAGTTCTGTTCATAAACAGTATTAGTAGATTTTTTTCACATCTCATTATCTCCGTATCATAACAGATTACAAACTTGTCACATATAGTTATACTTTCAAATGTTCTTTTAAAATATTTAAAATACTTTGAGATCAGTCCAATATTATGAGATTGTAACAAATTATAGAAATAATCACAATGTATAGTAAATAGAATACAGCAGAGATGGTATTCAGCAGGTTCTGACCAGTTCTGGAGAACCGGTAGTGGAAATTTTGAGTAGTTCGGAGAACCGGCAAATACCACCCCTGACTGGAGATTTTACAGTATCCTTCACCTGCCACACCCACCAAGCCACCCACACAGAACCGGTAGTAAAACAATTTGAATCCCACCACTGGAATACAGAAATAAAGTATCAACAAAACATTGGACACAATGAAATCAGAAGAAAAATCTAACTATAAATCATACAATATTTCTTGTTTCTTGTTTTGCAAATAATTATCTTACTATCATTCAGAGTCTTAGAAGCTGGACATTTTTGGTAAACAAATGCATCATTTAATTACAACAGCATTTCTGACTATGTAGCAGTTTTGCCCTTGGCAAAAATTAAAAAAATACAACCCTTATTTCTAAACATAAATTCTGCATAATTTTTCCAACAATATTACATATGTTATAATAATTCATATTTATTAGCAGATTATATGTCTAAGTGTGTCCAAGTAGCCATATATTATTTTAAAAAGAAGATTTAGAAAAAAGGCATTTAAAAATTATATTAATATAAAGATGATGATGATATATTTTCCATATTGATATGGGCTTCTTTTTGTTCAACATATCAGTGTGATTTCTTGTGTGGTATCCTACAATCTAAATATACAGCTCTCATCCTAAGTGCACATGTAGAATATCATCTGTAAATGTATAAGTAAAGTGGGGAAGGTATACAAAATGGTTCTTAAGCATTTAAGCATTTCATTAAAAACAAAATTCAACTTTCTTTTGACACAAGCCCAGCCAATGATACTCATATGGTAAAAGGTATACCTATTTGTTCATAATTCCATTGAAATATAAGCCATGGAACAAAGTGGAAACGGCAGGAAGCTTTTAATGAACAATCACTATGCACTAAGGGAGGCTCAGCCAATCTTATTGTACACATGTTGTGCACTGAAAATAAAGGTTTGAATTGAATTGGGCATTGCCCATTTAAAAAAAAAAAAATCCAGTCAGCCCTGTATCCATACTGATCATCTCTAAGAGAAGGAACTGTGGATTTCAGGACTCTTAAAAGTTTTTCCCCCCTTTCCACTCTTCCAAGAGATCATCTAATAGAAACTATAGCCGGTGTTGGTGGAACTCTTTGATCAGTATTTCTATATCAAGAGTTGATCTCTCAAAAATATGTTAAAACATAGAACAAAGTTGCTGTTTTTTCAGAGTCTTTCTTTCAGAGTCTCCAAATATGCCTCTAATAAAAGCCTGTATTTAGTTTGGATCTTTTTCTGAATTCTTTGACTATACTTAGAATGGCGATCATACTTATCATAATAACTATGCTTGAAAAAAGGCAGTCAGATTTAAACAGCTGTTATCTACCAAAAGAAGAATACTCAAGTATTTAAAGAAACAACATACAAAAAATCTTTGGAGGAAACAATAATTCTTTGAAGTTGAATTGTTACATGCAATAAATAATAAGTATTTGCCTCTATTTGAGACTGTTTAGCTTTGTTTAGATTGGCAGCCATGTCTCTTCAGGAGTATGAACTGATTTGCAGCAAAACCTATACAGCAGATCATTTAATTAAAGCCTTTGTAACTTTTTTCCTTCGGTATAAAGCTTTGAGACCTGAAATGCAGCCTTCCATTTTCATTCTCTTTTGTAGAACCTATATGTTGTTTTAGATCTGCCTTGTTTCCTTTTAAGCTATTTCAAATTTGTTAAGCATGTCTGACTGTATACATGCAGCTGTAAGGAGAAAAATATTGTCTCTCACATCATGCTAACAAGTTCATCAAACGTTTTTTTTTCTCAACAAACTGAATAAAAGTATGTGAAAGCTTGCTTTAACTCTAAATATGCATGCTCAACATCAGAAGGAGGAATAAGATGGTCTCACCAGTAACAAAACGGCCAAGAATTTATTTACTGCCAAATGTCTTAGTTTCAATAACCAAAATGCCATCGTGACAGAAGAGAGCAGTCAGATCTTTCATTTCAATGCCATCTGGCAATTTATATTGCCTAGTGAAACTTCTTGCTATAAAGCCCTGTTCATCCATCCTGGGTCCATGCTGAGCTTTGATTAGGAGCCACCCTTCGAAGACTTGTATTATGACATCTTCAGGACGAAACTGCACCACATCTAGTAAGACTTGAAATTTGGGGGTTGCTTCATCTATGCTTTTCTGCTCTGTTTCAGCCGCACTCTTGGATGCGTGAATGTTCCTTATCTGTGCTGGCCCTGCTGGACTTGGCAATGCAAACAAGGAGTGGTTCAATTTGTAGGCTTCCAAATCTTGATCAGGAAAATGCTCCTGATACCGCACTGGAGTTTTCACCCGATGGCATAGAACAATTTTTTCCATTGATGAGATAGTGCTGATAATCTCTTTGAACACAACAGAATCCTGAGATAATACCTTCTATCTAGCCGTTTCTCCTCTTGCCTACTAGTTGATCAGCTCAAGCAGCTTCATATTTTTAGCTCTGTCAGAGCTTATCACTCTCCTGGGTGTGACTAAAAACCCTGCCATACACTACAACTTTGGAAATGTTGACAATTGAGTGCTAATTATAGAAGCTGTAGCTGTTGCAGGGTTTTGTTTTTTCCCCCAGTAGATATCACTCATGTTATATTACTGTTGTTGTTACAGAGGTACATAATTATACTACGTTTTTTCTAAAAGTTCCAGGTAAATAGAGCCAGTTTGGTCTTGTAGTTAAGGCAGCAGGCTAGAAACCAGAAGACTGGGAGTTCTAGTCCTACCTTAGGCATGAAAGCTGACCAGGTGACTTTGGGCTACTCTTTCTCAGCCCAACCCATCTCATAGGTTTATTGTTTTAGGGAAAATGGTAAGAAGAAGGAGTATTAGTTACATTTGCTGTCTTGAATTATTTATAAAAATAAAGACAGGATGAAAAAAATATTAAAATAAAAAGATCTCTGCAACTTACTCCCAAATTCTGTTTTTCGGCTAGTTTGGACTTAGGGATAATGACTGGCCAAAAGTCATCCAGAAGCTTTTATAATTGTGTATTGACTGTAAGCTGTTTCTCCTCAGACATAATGTAAGAATTTATTGCTTCTGGTGTATTACATAATATAGTAAATTCAAAAAGAAAAAATTGTTGAGTGGTCATAATAAAATTATTGCTTAATGTAGATGAACTTGCTATTGCCTCTGAAAAATGGAAAAGTAAAGAATAATGAAATTGAGCAGAGTTAAAAATAATAATAAAATCATAAGGTTGGAAGCACCTTGTAGGTTTCTTGCTCAATTTCCTATTCAAAAAAGGAATCTTCAGGCCAATGGGCCTGCGTAGCCTGGGAAGGCAAAAATCCCCTCCCCGCCGTGGTGCAGGAGGCTGACTAGGCCATGCCCACTATGGCTACGCCCACCCAGCAACCCGGCAGAGAACCCTTTGCTAAAATTTTTGAAACCCACCCCTGATTGGTACCATTCTCCCAGATAATTATAGAAGTTTGACAAAAGCTAGGTTAATGTATAGCTGAGAGTTGCTGTGTGTATGTGAAGTATGTAGTAGTTCTAAGTCATTTTTTGAAATCTCCACAACCATAACACATGTTTGGGATAGTTATCTGAATTTACAATGTATACATTAGGATGTACTGCATATATCAGGCTTTGCAGGAAGCTCAACTCTTAATCTCAATTCTCCAAACATAATACTTTATTCAGAAATTGGCTTATTCGGGACAAGATTCTCAGGCAGGATAAGGATAAGATTAACTTCTTTGTTGCAGACAAGAATGAAGCCATATACACTCAAAAGATTTACCTACTGCAGGGTGCAGAAATTAAAGCATATATACAGACTTATACTCAAGATTTTACAGTCTAGGCTTTTTCTCTCTCTTTTTACTGAAGCAACAAATTCTTGTCATTTTCTTGAGAATCTTGAAATGCACCAACCAAGTTTTTGTTGACATAAGACAAAGTTGTCTCTAGCTCAGAAGAGAATTGCCTTGTCAGCTTCATTCCTTATAACAGGACCGCTGCGTTGGGCTCCATTCCATGTCTGTTATCCAGCTCTGTATATACAACATTCTCTAATGTAGAATAACTAATACTTCTACCTTGTTTTAGAGAAAGGGATTTTAAGATGGCACTAATTTATTGAAGGAATAATAAATGTTACTTATTCTAATTCCATTCATTATTTTTTGATGTCAACAATTTTTTGTTTGAATATTGTATTCAAGACTCATGCCGTGTTCTGCAAGGCATACTTCCTAGTAAGTAAGTTGAAAATTTCTGCATTCTCAGTGAAAATACTTGGTTTTGGTAACATGTTTATAAATATTCTATTCCTTATAAGTAAATCACAATTTATTTATTCCTCCCTATCATTGGGAACACAACACACCGTCCTTGTGCAAAGCTCAACACACACCAATGATTGCAGTTGAAGTGGAAAAGTTTTTTTGAATACAGGACAGAACTGAAATGAAAAAGAAATAGTCTCCTAAACATTCATAAAAATATACAAATAATTAGTTTTTACTATGTACTAGCATTGGGTATGCCCCATAGGATTTTTATTTGGAATTTCATAGTTGTCAACATATTTTATTTTAGTTTGAAAATGCAAATGGTGTCTCTAATGATATCACTGAGCCCATTTTTCTGAAACCCCGGAGAGCAGTTGACACAGCAGAAATATCTAGTGTGCCTATAATGGGAAGTGAGGCACTAAATCCTGAAAAAAATGTCCAGGTGTTAATTTGCTTTTACTTTGTTTACATTACACAATGTAATTATTTGTGCAAAAGACTGACGATACTAGATACCAGGTACAGGCTAAGTGACATAAAATGTAAATGGTCTGTACAGGACCTTTAGAAAGACAGGCTTTGTAAATCGTGCTAGCAGCCCACCTTCCAGTTTAAAGAACTGTATTGTATATCCCTCTTTAGAAGGCTGCCCTCAGCTGTCTTCTTATGTGTGCCTTCTAAAGAGTGATACAGTCCCTTCATTTCATTGATGATCCTGGCAGAAGAGTTGTTTGTGCATGCTTATGTATGCACAGACAGCTGTGAAGCAGCTGAGAAAGCATTCTAGAGAATCAGGCTATTTTAACCCTTGGAAGACAGAAGCTTTGCTTATGCTCACCAGCTTTCCATCTGGAATGCTTTGCACAAACCTGTAAAATAATTAGAAGAGAAGAGAAGAGAAGAGTTGGAAGGGACCTTGGAGGTCTTCTAGTCCAACCTCCTGCTTAGGCAGGAAACACTATACCATTTCAGACACATGGTTATCCAATCTCTTCTTAAAAACTTCCAGTGTTTGAGCATTTACAACTTCTGGAGGCAAGTTGTTCCACTGATTAATTGTTCTAACTGTTAGGAAATTTCTCCTTAGTTCTAGGTTGCTTCTCTCCTTGATTAGTTTCCACCCACTGGTTCGTGTCCTGCCCTCAGGTGCTTTGGAGAATGGCTTGATTCCCTCTTCTTTGTGGCAACCCCTGTATCTTTTTGTAATAACTTAGACCAGGAGTGTCAAACTCGAGGCATCACGCTATTGTCACATGACGTATCACGACTTTCCCCGTTTGCGGGCATGGCCAGTATGTGATGCATCAAGCCCACAGGCCGTGAGTTTGACACCCCTGTCTTAGACTATTTAAATGCATTACATGCATATTTCAGAAATTCTCACATCAGGTCTGGCTGGCTGGGGAATTCTGGGAATTGAAATTCTCCACTCTTAAAAGTTGTCTAGATTGAGAGACACTGACCTAGAGCCATCTACTTAAGTACACTGTTGTAAGCTAGCAGAGTAGTTAACAATTTTCTTAATTATCATTTTCGCATATGCAAATCCTTAAGGAAATGTATAAAGGCAGTTCAATAAAATCAGTGAAGTAGTTTACTTAGCTTATACAGAACAGCATGATCATATTTACACAGGAGTTCAGATCAGCCCTGCACTTTAGTTTTAGCTATACCAAAGTAAAATATGCTACAGGTATACATTAACTTGTAATATATAAAGCTTTTATAGATGCTTTCAGACAGGCAAGCTATACTGAAAAACATTTTGGTTTGATTATAAGACTTGCAGAGAGTTAATCTTTAATAAATTCACTACTTAAACGTACTTTCTGTACTTTGCCAACGAAAGGTTAGAACAGAGCACATGTTTCCATCACCATAGAAATGTAACTGAAAATATCTTCCCCAGTGGATGTGACATTATGAGTTATGTTGTAAGATCTTTTTGTCCAGGTCAGTGACTGCTGAAATTGTGATGCAGAGAAATGAAGACTTTCATAATGATAGCAGTTCATTCAGGAAAGTTCAATTACATCTGAGACAGGAATCGTTTAACAGAAAACTGGCTTAATTCATGTGGCATTAGGTGAACATGCTTCACACAGCTTCCAGTGGTAACACAACATGAGTGTTTCTGAACCTTGGCAAGATATGTGGACTTCAATTCCTAGAAGTTCCCTAGCCAGCTTGCTAAGTTGTCAAGGTTCAAAACACTGCACTACTGTTGAGTGTGCCTTCCATGGAGGTGAAGGAACTGAGAGCAGGCCTGAGGAGAGAGGGGTTCAGCCGGTACATTGTTCTGGGGGCCCTGGAGCTCAAAGTGGGCCCATGAAGGGAATATTTTTTTTAAAAAAATTACGAAATCAAATTTTTAAAAACAGTAGGACAGTGTGTCAACCTGGATGCACCTGGGCGGGGGTGGGTTGTGGTGGGAGGTGGCCTTGCAGCAAAACACTCCAAAGCTGAATCAAATCAACTCCTTGGAGGACAAATGGCAAGGAAGAAAGGCATTGCAGCAGTGGCAGCAATGATCGCCCTGCCCACTTCTCACCCTGTTGAAATCCTTCATGCCAAAAGGAAGGAGGTGCCACTGTTAGCTTTGTTGGAGGATCTGTGCGCGCCAGCCATTTATTTATTTTTATTTATTTTATTTTTATTTATTTTGATTTGTCAATCGCTTACAAGATAATAGATATAAGTATATACATAGTTATGAATACATGAAATGGGTACATATAAGAAAAATAACAGAAACAATAGGACAGGGACGGTAGGCACGTTGGTGCGCCTATGCACGCCCCCTACAGACCTCTTAGGAAAGGGATGAGGTCAATAGTAGACAATCTAAGGTTAAAGTTTTTGGGGTTTGGGGAAGAAACCACAGAGTCAGGTAGAGTATACCAGACATTGACCACTCTGTTGCTGAAGTCGTATTTCCTGCAATCAAGGATAACCCTGAGTTTGTATCTATTGTGTGCTCTTGTGTTGTTATGGTTGAAGCTGAAGTATTCATTGACAGGTAAGTCATTGCACTGTATGATTTTATATACCATACTTAGGTCAGACCGAAGACGGCGTAATTCAAGGTTTTCTAGGTCTAGAATTTCAAGTCTGGTGGTATAAAGTATTCTACAACGAGTAGAGGAGTGGAGAACTCATTTTGTGAAATATTTCTGGACTTTCTCAACTGTGCTAATATCAGATACGTAATGTGGGTTCCAGACTGATGATCTGTATTCGAGTATTGGTCTAGCAAATGTTTTGCATGCTCTAGTTAGTAGTGTGATATTACCAGAGAAAAAGCTACGTAGGATTAGGTTAATAACTCTTAACACCTTTTTGGCTATGTAGTTACAGTGGGCTCTAGCACGTAGGTCATTTGAGATGAGGACTCCAAGATCCTTGACAGAGTTTGGATCATCAACAAGATCTTGACTATTCAGCTTGTATTTTATTTTCTGATTTTTTTTGCCAATATGTAAGACAGAGCATTTATTTGTTGAGAGTTGAAGTTGCCATTTGTTTGACCATTCTGATACATAGTCAAGGTCTTTTTGAAGGGTAGCAGTATTGTCTGTGGTATTGAACAGCTTTACATCATCAGCTAAAAGAACGCAGTTGCTTTTGATATGATCACAGAGGTCATTTATGTAGAATATGAAGAGAGCCATGCCAAAGGGTAACTGGTATCTACTTGTGGGCTGCACGGACTCCAACACCGCTTCTCTGTACTTCATCCTCAACCCCCCGCACTTCCTGATCTGCTTCGCTGCTCTGGCAGCCCCCCGCCTTGTAAACAAGCCTCTCGGTTGGTTAGGAGTTATATCGGTGCAGAGAGTGAAGTGAAATCCACAGGGTGGTGGGGAGGGGATGAGGAGATGTTAACTTAAAGTGTAGATGTGGGGGCCCATATTAGTCTTGTTCCAGGACTTAATAATCCTCTTGGCAGCCCTGACTGAGAGACAGAGGAGACTAAGCTGGCCAAGGTCAAAAGAGGGTTAAACACTTCTGTTGAAATACTGTTGTCTCTTATCCAATCCAATCTGGTATTCCAAAGGCAATATATATTATAGCAGGTAAGGATAGTGATTATAGTCCAGGTAAATATTGATATATTCAGGCAGATTTATTTATAGATTTTAAAAGACTTATGTAGCCTCTCTTGAAAAATGAATGTAAACTTTGATGTAAAAGATTCATGTTAAATCAGTTTCTGTACCTCTTAAGTAAATTCATAGTGTATAGGTAGTCCTTGTTTAGTGCACACACTTTAGAAACAACTCAAAGTTATGACAGTGCTGAACGAGGGGGACTTAGGGCAGGTCCTCATAGTTGCAGCCACTGTAGCATCTCTGTGGTTAAATGCTTGTGCTTTGGGCACTTGGCAACTGCAGTTAAGATATCACAGCCCTCTTGCGGTCATGTGATCACCATTTGCGAACTACACTGTCAGCTTCTGATAAGCAAAAACAGCAAAGAAGCCAGCAGAAGTTCTCAAAGGATAATCATGTGATTGTGGGTGTTGCAGCTGCATGTGTTTAGCTTAATGACAGCAACTGGGACTACTGGAACTGCTGTTCTAAATTGGTGTGGTCACGTGATGTCATAACTGATGGCCATTTTTCTTCGCGATGGAGTTCCTGATCGTAATTATCGTTGGTGAGCAATGAGCGCTTGTATATCACTGAAGTTCCTGGGTTCCATTATTTTAATGCAAAGTGGGTAGAGTGAAACTTGTGTCCCTCTTTCTTCCATTTCAGTAAATTGGCAGAAAGAAAAATATGAACAAAGAATCAATTTCGATAATTAAAACTCCAGAAACTGCCTTCCCAATGCACCCTGTTCTTCCTCTTTTAGTTTGATCCTTAACACATCGTGGGAGTCTGGTGCAACTGACAAACATGTTTATCTTTCTCTTAAGGCAGGGGTGTCAAACTTGCAGCGTCACGTTACCATGATGTGACACTTCGTGATGTTTTTCCCTTTCATGGAGCTGGGGTAGGTGTGGCCTACGCATGACGCATCTGGCCCACAGGCCACCAGTTTGTCACCCCTTTAAGGTATGGCAAATACCCAGCTTCCAAATACAGCAATACAAGTCCCAAGATGCTTATTGGGATCGTGGAAAACCTATATAAGGAAAAAACCCACCAAATAGAAGGAGAAATAACCTGAAGATGATCATATGATACTAAATCTTTTTTTTTAAAAAAATCTGTATCTGTATACGATCTTCTTCTCATTATCTGGAAAAGGAACAGCATCAGCTAGCCAGTTGTACAAGAATATTGCGTTTCCCACTGGTTGTCTTGAACTCCCAATATGAGGACCAATTTGCGTTGCTTGAAAGCTGTGCATTCTACCTTTAAACCACTGAATGTATGTAAGTTCTTTTCCTATATGGGTTTAATACATCCCTCAGGAATTCAGTTTCATTCTGAAGAAAATGTACTCTACTGACATCTTGTGGCATGAAAAGAAAGAATATATCAAACAAGCTCGGTTTGGAAATGTTAACTCTATTTTTGTAAATTCTGTAGCAGAAAAGCCTATTTTCCTGTTGAAAGGATAGTTAAAAAAAAGAGCCTATCAGCTTACCTGGTAGAAAATACAAACAGATAAACTAATTCTACTTTATTGCAAAGCTACATTAATAGAAACTTGCAAGTCTGAAAGTACTCTTCCCTCCTACTCCCCATTCCCTTTATAGCCTAACCAGGAAGAGATCCTTCAGAACTTTTGCTCTGTCCGCTATCCATCTGCAGTATCCATCTGTCTCCTATCTGACAGTTCCCTAAGATAATTTCTTTGATTTTCCTCACATACCATTATAGAGCCTAAACCACCCAAGGATATTTCCACTTTGCAGTTAGCATGGCCAGTGGGGAGAAATGATTGCACACATATATATTACTCTATCAGTAATATCATCTTCCTCACCAGAGAAATATATATGCATTTTCAAGCAGGCAAACTCTATGCAATATTTTTTTTAAAAAAACCTGATATTAAAAATGGAAGACTATAAAACTGGCAAGAATAGTTTTAATTCGCTAAAGTTTAATTTGTGTGTTCTAATTACTCTCTTTGACAGCAATAATTTTTTCTAAAATGGAGATAATTTTGTGCCTGTGGTAGTTTTTATTTAGTTGCTGAGTTTAGTCTTATTAAAGGTCTCTTTTGGAGGAAGATTTAGTTTTAGGTATTGTTCACTTGAATAGTCTCAATTACGGTACTTATTGATTGCTGTAGCTCTTTTTGAAAAATAGTGTTATTTTTTTGACAGCTGGCTAAAATCCATTAACATAATATGAAACTGAAATCATGAAGGCATGATTTCCATTTTTTTTCATTGCATATTCTGGAAAAAAAACTGTTGTGAATCTCCCAGTCTTCATTTTTTTGTGTATTATTCATTCCCAGTATATCTTTTTCATTTCAGTCTCCACCATTGTTTCCTTTTGCTTTTGTGTAGTCAGTTTTATCTGTCACTGTACAGCTGGCTGTAGAGAGATTTTTGGATATCATCCCTTTTTCTGCTGTGTAAACTATTAAAGAACTGTTAGCATTTGGTAACAAAGTGTGGCTATATTACTTTAAAAAGAAAGACAGTCCTATCTTTAGAATTAGATCATCTGATTTGGGGAACTGAAGGAAAAGCAGAGTAAAATTGAAAGCAAAATTGTGAATGTGATAATGATGCACATGTTTTCAATTTTGCACTGGGTAAATAGATAAAAACTATGGTCCATTATGAAATCAAAGTATAAAGCTTGTTCAGATGGAATCCAAAGGATCATTGCCATTCCAGGAAATTTGCATTTGTAGTCATTTTAATTTATTCCTATTGCTTGAAATGAACTTCCAGGAATTTATTACTGTATGAATGTACTAGGATAAAGATATGGAAATAAATCATTTTACTGAAGACTTTGTAGAAATATTTCTGTCCCCGCACATCACATATTTAGACTGAAATGTTTGTGCATCTCATTTCTGCCATCATATACTCACACTGTAGCTAGATCTGTTTTGCTTTATACCATTCTTTCTGATGAAATTGACAAAAGGGGTTTTAAAAAATGCAAGCTAGCTAAAAAAAAAACCTAATTTATATACAAAATTTTAAACAGTGGAAAAGTAAAAAAGGGTTTTGTTCCCATAGTTCCTAAGTTTTTTTTTTTTTAAAAAAAGCCTTAGTGTTTGTTTATTTGTTTCCTTTTATTAGTTTTACAAATAACTCAAGGCAGCAAACGTATGCAACATACTGCCCTCCTCCTATTTTCTCCATAACAACAACCCTGTGAGGTGAGTTGAGGTGAGAGAAAGTGACTATTCAAAGTCACCCAACTGGCTTTTGTGGCTCAGGTGGGACTTGAACTCACAGTGTCCTGCTGGTGCCTTAAATACTTACCAAGCTGCCTTAAGAGTTGGATAATGTTGAATGTAAATGTCTCTAGCAAGATAACCAGTCTTATCTCTCCAAAAACAGGCTGCCCAGACTTTCTTTCTCCAATTCAAGTTTGCAAGTTCCCTGTTCCTCAGGCAAGTTCACAGGGGTAAGTATGCAATGACACAGAAAGATAAGTTGTCTTATATCTGTGTCCTATCTCTGCAACAGTGGGAGAAAATGGAATCCATGTTTGGCATCTCAGTACGGGTGGCCGTGTTTGGCCTCTCAGTACGATGGCAATGGAGCAATTGTAAGTGATGATGGCCATAAGTTGATGCATCTGTGTGAGTGGATCAGATTGTACAACTTTTTTTGCAGCAGTTGTTAAATTAATCCAAGTATTTCTATGAATGGATTTTTTTGCTGTAAACAAGTCCAAAAACACCAGAAACAAGCAAAATACATAGTAGATTGTGGTCACGTGGCTGCAGTACATTATAACTGGCTATAAAGGTGAGCCAGTTATGCAGTGCAAAAATGCAGTCATGTTGACTGGAGGGCTATGTAGCCATTGGAACTGTAGAACCAGGTAAGTAGCATTTGAAGGTCCATTATAACTTCAAATAGTCACTAACTGACTAGTCCTAAGTGAGGACTACCTATATATGCTTGTAGTGAGGACTGAGATGGTGCATATTTTAAAGGTTGTGTGACCTATCTCCTAAAACAAATTATGTGATTATTTCACAAGATGAAGAGAGATTCAGTCACTTATTACAGAATTCAACTGCCCTGTTCATTAGAGATTTTTTTCAGACTCAGTTGGGAAGGAAAATGTTGGGCCAATCTTCATCAGAATTCTAGGCTAAGAGCCATTTGAAAGCAGAAAAATCAGCAAATGTGTAAGAATAATGTTGTGTCGAAACATCAAAATCTTGAAAAGCAATAAATATAATGTAGCACTAAAACATAAAATTATAAAAACTGGTATTTTCAGTCCTGAGTGAAGACTTGTTGTCTTGAAAATGCAAGGAAGATAGGGGCTGCCTATAGCCCTGGGGAAAGAGAATATAATTGTGGGCCTGGATCTTGGAAGAAGGATTACTCAGAAAACCCTCTGTAGATGACTAGATTATTGGAAGAACAGAATCTAGTCTGGCAGGACATTGCTTGATGTAATCCATTATTACGTTGTATGAGCTCCAAACATAATTAACATAATTTGGATTGGCTCTGAAAGCTTCCCGGTAACCAATTTTAAAAAGCTGTTATTCTAGACTGGTGCAATTGCCATGCCAGTAACCTTGCTGCTCCATTTTTTAGTCTCCAAATATTTTATTATGGGTTTGCAAAACCAGGTGAAGCATGCATGAACATGTTCAGCAATATTCCACAGGCAAGACAGTGATGCAAGAAAAGAGGGTGTATTTATAAGCAAGCAACAAGAAGCTACAGGCTGTGTAATTTTATTAAACATTGCAATTAAAAAGAAAAACTAATACAAACTAAGAAAATTAAAAGGAAAAATTGAAAGTGAAGAAAAAAGAAAAATACACAAAAAGAAAAGAAATACAGTATATAATGACTTACACCTTCATCACCAAGGATAAACAATTCTAGTAACCAATCATCTTTTAAAATATGACAAATGATCTGTTTTTTCTATGTCCCATTTCTTATGTTTACAAAGATTCTTAACTCCTCATTGTTTAGTCTTGATCACTAATTTATTATAAACCCTCATTAAGGGTTGCCAGAGATAACAGAATATCTATTTGAATCAAATAAACCCACTTTTGTTCCTTCCTTTTACTTTTAACTATCTTGATCTTTAATTCCTTGAAATAAGGATTTAGATGTCATTGCTTGTTGGTTCAGTCTCACAAAATTCTGCAAAACTTTAACATGTCTCTTTTGTAAATCCAATATAGTTATCCATATCACTTGTTTGTTTTATTATTGGTATATCATCCCTTTTAAATTATTAAGACATCAGCCAATTTCATTTGTCCAACCAGTATAGCCAGGGGTGGGATTCAATTTTTTAAACAACCGGTTCTGTGGGCGTGGCTTAGTTGGTGGGAATAGCTTGGTGGTCATGTGACTGAGTGGATGTGGCTTGGTGGCCATGCTATTGGCTGGGCGTGGCCAACTCAATATCACTCACATTGAGGCATGCATCTCCTTGCCTGGCCTCTCATGACTGTGGGGATGCTGCAACAGTCGTAAGTGTGAAAAACAGTCATAAGTCACTTTTTTCAGTGCCATTGTAACTTTGAATGGTCACTCCACACAAGCAAAGTACCAGCAAAGGAGGGGGAAAAAACTCCAGAGAAGTTCCAGAGACAGGAAGTCTAGTCCTGCCAAGAATGTAATAAGGGTTAACGGAGAGGCAGTTTCTGTAAGCAACACCTGAATGTTTCCTTCCTGCCTTCCTTACAGGATTAGGCCAGTAATTTCTTCTAACAACGGTTTCTCCAAATTGCTTAGAATGTTAACAACCCGGTTCTAGTGAATAGGTGCAAACTGGTAGAATCCCACCCCTGAGTATAGCATCTTTTTCCATATCATTCCTGTAGTCTGTCATTTTTAAATTAATTTTCAGATCAGTCTCGTATATGGGAGAATTATTTATGAAAGATGGCATTAAACCAGACCAAAGTAGACAAAATGATAAATCAGAATGAGATTCAGAGTATCATAGAATTGATAAATTATGTCTCAGAATTCATTCCCAGCTTTGCTGTCTGCACTACAACTCTGAAGAAATTTCTGGACTATAGCATATGACAAGGACCTAAATTACGTAATACTCTAAACATAGCATATGTTTTTATAGTTTCAAGATCTTAAAAGAAACAGTTTCTACAAATGCTACTGTGCAAATTACATGGAACAGATATGTAGTCAAGACGTGGAACAGAGCGTTCAACACTTTTGCGTTTTATATAATTACATTTAAAAACCAAAATGCAAGCAAATTGGTATTTACCAAAGGTTGACTCTACCTATGTTATGGAAGTAATAAAAGGTTCCTTATAATATGTTAACCTCCTTTCAGTTCCAAGTTAGAGATGAATGTAAGCTGACTCAGTTCACCCAATGTGTTGTTGCATCCTCTTAAATGAAAAGCATAAAAACTAAGGTAAATTATGTAAGAGTAAAAGATGTCACTTAAAGAGATGATAGAAAATTAAATTATTATGTTGTTACTACAGTTTTTAACTGGGAATTTCTTGGAGTAATTTAAGAAAGTCTGAAATAAATCTTTCTTGAGCCCATCAGCAAACCGGATTAACCTCTCCATGGCTTTTGGCTTAAAAAGTCACTTGACTGTGAAGTGGGTGGCTATATAAATATGATTTATAAACAAAATAAACAACCTTCACTGAATTACAGCAAGAATAAAATGGAATTGTATGTGCATATGTGAAGAAAATAATACATGTCCTTTTAAAGCACTTCTGTAAGAAGGAAAAATAGAAATGCACAAAAAAGTTATGAAATATATATGTTGGACATTAGTATACAGCTTTCTGTTATGAACTGTGAACAAATGCTAGATTTTAAAAAGATCTTTTGAAATGGACATATGTCTCAAGTCAGGCATAAAGTTCATATGGATTCTATATGCTGTCCATGCAACATTAGCAATAAGCATTGAAAGGGCACATGGTATGATGAACATGTTATATAATTCAGTAATGCTTTAGAGTTTAGAGAGCAATTCACATTGTTCTTGAATTTAAAAAAAATCTATATGTAGTTCAAGCTATATGCTAAGCAAGGGAACAAATATTCTCAGTATCCAATTTAAGATACAAAAATAAGTGAACAGTTATTTGTCAAGTTAAAATCAAAGATAAGATTGTGTAAAAGATTATTTTTAAAAGTAAGGAATAACTGCTGGTGATCTTGCAGTACTTCTGTAGTATGCAGTATGGATTTTAAATTAAAGCACTATTTCTTGGTGCATTCTTTTCTTTAAAAGCACAAACTAAAGTATGAAGTTGAAAAACTTGATTGACAAGTTCTTTTCCTCAGTTTATTTTTTTCTTTGTACAGGTCTTAAAATGTATATAGGAGAAACTGTTGATGAAGAAACTGTCCAATACTATCTAATTAAGTAATTTGATTTTCAGGTAAATGGAACATGATTATGAAACTTGCAAATTTTACTTTCTGTCTCATGATTTTATTTATTTGATTTGTCAATCGTTTACAAGATAATAGGTATAAGTATAAACATAAGTAAGAATACAGAAAATAGGTACGAATAAATGGGGACAATAGGACAGGGACGGGAGGCACGATGGTGCACTTATACACGCTCCTTACAGACCTCTTAGGAAGATGTTACTGCTTCCAGAAAATCTAACTGTCTGTTTCAATTCAGAAGCACTAACTTCTCTTTTGGGATCTTTGACTTTTCTCTTCCTCACTAAAAATATTTTGAAATATTTTAATCTGAAATTATATGTATAGTTCTTTCGATTTAGAGAAAAGTTTTGGTTTATATTCAAGTTTCTGTAAAATTATGACATTACTTTCCTTAGGCCTAAGCCCCATTTGTAAAATGGGAATCCTGATAGACCACTTGGGGTCGTGGATATCTTAGTGAATATATGTAATTATACATATATTATAAATTGGGATTATACTGGGATTATAAATTGTGTTAAGCACATTGTGTCTAGTTTTGGTTTCTGGTGCTTGATAATCTTGTCTGAGCTCCAAGAATGCTTCCGACTTGGATGGAGGTCTACAAGGAAACATCAGGATTGTAAGCTATTTCGAAAAACTGAAAAAGCATCTCCAGTATGTGGCTATATCCATTGAAATCACCAGATGTGGCACTTATGTTGAAGACAAACCACTAGAATATAAAATAAGAGCAAACCTCACTCCTTACTAGTACTGATGATGTTACTTAATTTGGGTAATGAAATGTCTGCAAGAAAATAATCTATGTCTGAGAACACCAAGGATTACAGCCATACTAATGAGATATGGTTGAAAGTTGACCTGTTCAAGGAACAGACTGATCTTTCTTAGTTCATGCTTGTAAATTTCATTCTGTTTCTAGATTTCTCTTTAGTGCTAAACAAAATTTGGTTCTTGACAAAGTCATAGTAACTGATTCATATATAACACTAAGTCATAAACAATGACTTGATACATACAAGTAGTCCTTTTTAAAAAAAAAATTTTTTTTATTGGATTTTAAAAACAAACATAAACAAACAAAACATAAAAACATCAAGCTATCTTCTATATGTGTACATACAGTGTGCCGGTTGGCTTACAAATTGTTTTGTGCTTCCATTTCGTAGTCTTCAATTACAATTACATTGCATATAATCTCATATTTTCAATCAAAAATTAAATACCTTAGTATCATTATTAATCAATCATTTGACTATACTTTTATTCATTCATGTTTTACAAGATAATCATAATTTACTTAGTTTATTTTATAACAGTTCATATTATCACCCCAAATCTATCCTAAAATCATTTTGTAGATATAATAAGAAAGAAGTACATCTTTATATATTTATTATTTTTTAAAAGTCTACATATTTCATTACTGTATTTTATTGTCTAACCATTGATAGAAAAGATCCCAAATTTTATAAAATTGTTTATCCTCTTGTTCTCTAACTTCAAATGTCAATCTACTCATTTCAGCACATTCCAATATTTTCTTAATGATTTCCTCCTGTGATGGTATTTTCTCATTTTTCCAGTTTTTAGCAAATACAATCCTAGCTGCTGTTAATACATTTACAATCAGGTATTTCAGGTCTTTACTATATATTTCAGGTAAAATTGCCAATAAAAATATCTCTGGTTTCAAGTCTATATGTTTTTTTTGTCATTTTTCCCAACCACATGTGGATTTTAGTCCAGTATTTTTTAGCATCCGCGCATGTCCACCACATATGGTAATATGAGCCAGGTGTCTGATGACATTTCCAACATTTTTCGGATTTATTCTTGAACATTCTTGCTATTCTTGTCAGGGGGAAATGCCACCTGTAAAACATCTTATACAAATTTTCTTTATATGCTGTTGACATTGTCATTTTATAATTTTGAGACCACAATTTTTGCCATTTATCTAAATCGATCCCATATCCAAAATTCTTCCCCCAAGCAATCATACTTTCTTTAACTTGTTCTTCTTCTAATTTAATTTCTAATAAATATCCATACAGTTTTTTAACCACCTTTTCATCAGTACCTGTCAAAATCTTATCTACATCAGTCAATTTATCATAGAAACCTTCCATTTTAGAATCTTTATCATACCTTGAATGTATTTGCACATATGAAAACCAATTCATCTTTATACCTTGTTCCTCTAGCTTTTGTATAGATTTGAGTTCACCCTTTTCATTCAATATTTCACCATATCTAACTGTTTGCTCCTTTTTGTATATTATAGGATAAGAAAATGCTTCAATAGTCGATAACCAGACTGGAATTTTCAAATAACATTGTCTTTTAATCTTCTCCCAGTTTAACCACAGAGACTCCCGTATATAATGTCTTCTATACATACAAGTAGTCCTTGAGTTACGAATGTAATGGAGCCTGCCCATTCCATTCGTAACCCAAGGATTTGTGGGAGTGAATCTTGTACCTTGAACGGAATCACTCCCTCCTTTCGCTCACACATTTGCTAATCAAATGCAAGGCTTGTTAAGTGCACGAGGTATTTCAGGGTAGGGAAGCCCATGGAACAGGCCACCTGCCTAAAACCATCCAAGGCCTCCCTGACTCACTGAAATACCTCATGCTTCCCACAATTGCTTTATACCCCAACCTGCCATGCCAGGTCATTTACCTTGTAAAGATCTAGCAAGCAGTCTCCTCTCCAGCCTCTCAAAGCCGCGTGCACCCCCTGCAGTTCCATTTGGCCCTCCATGGGCCTCCCCTGGCCCGTTGCAGGTCGAAATGGAGCTTCCTTAGAAACTCCATTTGGGCCTGCAACATGGTAGATGAGGCCTCTGGAGAACCAAACGAAGTGTCGAAGGAGTGGATCTGCCCCTTGGAAGCTCCATTTTGACTGGTAACATTCAGGATGAACGTTGCAGAGACCTTGTGGTTGTTCATAAGGGTGAACAACTGCCATGGTGTTGCAAGATTTGTAGTTTTGGGACTTGTTTGCAAATGCTAGGGGACACTTATTGTGTAACTTTGAACGTTCACTAAGGAAATGCTCATAATCCAGGGATTATATGTATTAGATCATGTACTTCTTAGATACCCAAAATGTAAATGAATAATGATCAAATTTCCTGCACCTCATGATTTATTGTTTTATTTTTTGGGGAAAAAAACATTGTTAATATAAACATTGAAAAAAAAATCATGTGAAAATTGTGAATTTATCTCTTATATTTTACTATAAGACAAGCTGTATAGTATTTATAGATCATTATTATTTTTCATATCCATTATTTTCTTATTTTTCAACTATTCATGAATTATTTATTTCACATTATATCCACACCTTTTTCGACTAAATGCTGCTTTTCAAGATTAAATTGTGATTGAGTTACAACTTGATTAATACTCCAGATAAGACTGAAGGTTACTTTATTTATTTTATTTAAAAGTTATAATCCTGGTTTATGACAGGGAGAAAAATAGACTGATTTCAAGTTGGCAAAGGAGAATGACAAGGATGTTTATTCTTCCTGTATTTATTCAACCTTTATACCAAATATACATTAATGGAAGCTGGATTGGAAAAAGATGAGTGTGGTTTTAAAATCAGAGGAAGGAACATCGATAACCTGCATTGTTTTTTTATTCTATGTAAGCAAAAGTTGAAGCAGCAGGACAGGAAGAATATTGATGCTTATAATGTAAAACCATTATAAACCACCCTTTTGAATATTTTGATTATTGGAAAATAATTCCATGGTTACACTGGGAAAATACATCGTAAGATGGCATTTTCTTTGGAGCCATATGTTCCTCACCAAAGCTGGTTTAGTCAGCAAGATATTCACTTTATGTAATATATCATGATTTATTTCTACAGGAGAAAAAAACAGCTAATCTATATTTACTGAAGCATAAAATTGAGATGATGATTTATTGTACACATTCCTTTCTCTAATTTTTATCAAGACCCAAGATAAAATAAATGAGGTTAAAATAAGCTGCACAGCATAAAAATGATTTTTATTCCAATAAAACCTGCAGAGAATTTATTTCTTACACTTAGCAAGGATTGGAAATAAGAGGCAACTCAAATAACCAGCATCTTTGGGAGTCTCCTAACCTTGACTTTGTAATGTTTATATTCAGAATATTTTAGGAGTGCTTCATCTATTACAGTAGAAAGATTCTGCTAAACATGATACTACACAATGCAGGAAAAGATATAGGAATCAACCATTTCCAAAACTGTAAGTTTTTGTGCTATGCAGACAAAGAAAAAAGGGCAAATCCACTTCAAATACTATGCAAATAAAAACAGAAAAGTGCTACCTTTTTAATGCGTGTGCTGCTCCTTCTTTTACTTGCACAATAAAGAAGGCATTTTAGCAGCTTTGACATTGGTTGATTGAGAACAATCAACCAATGGAACACCTTGCTCTCAGAAATTGTGGAAGTGAGAGTTGTGAGACTTTCAAGAAGAGATTGGACTGCCATTTGTCAGAAATGGTGTTGGGTCTCCCGCTTGGGCAACGGGTTGGACTAGATGACCTGTAAGGTCCCTTCCAACTCTTATTATCTGTTAATCTGTTAATATTGTGTCTCCTGTAAGCCAGCTTCTTGCTCAGAAAAACAAATCTGTAGTCCAAGCTGTACGTTATTTGAGTACAGTAAACAGATTAGAAATTATAGCTCTTTATTATGTACGTCTCCAGATCCTTGAGGTTAAGTTGATTAATTTAAGTATTATATATAGGATATGATTTCTGGTCATCATCTTCTAAGGATGTTCTTGTTTAAAAGAACAAAGCAGGTGATATAAAGTTTTGGATGCATACTCATGAAGGGTGCATTTTGTTTCCAGAAGTGCAAAAATGGCAACAATAAAGACTGCAAACAGCCCATAAAATTAAGATTCTTCTGTGAGATGGTTCTCCCATGGTACAACGGGTTGCATCCAACTTTCTGTTTACTTGAACTGGGCCCTTGTTGCATTTTAGTATCTGCTCATTGAACCCTGTTTTGTTTTTATATTTCCTGCTGTTATCCTGTTGGTAAAGGTCAAACAATCACTTCAGGAAATGGGAACAGGGAGGAG